GTAATACAAATAACAATTAGATTATTTTTTTTTGAATTTTATAGACTTTCTTTTTTTCATTTTTGGTGGTGATGATGATCTTAGTGAAGAAAATACTGTGGAGCTATTTTTTGTATTACTACTTGAACTAGTTGGAAATGCATAATACAGAAGAGATATATTAACGTGCAAGATATTCTATAATTATAAGTATGTGTTAATTTTAAGCAAGTGAAATATAAGAATTGCATTTCACATACCCATATTGTCAATAAAGTTTTAACAAATTTAAACATCATATTCCTATCTATTGGCTGTATCAGAATTTTAACTGTACGCAAATTATAGAAATGATCTATCTCATCTATACCTTGAATAAGGATATTTAGATGCATCTCAGTTCTGGCGATTTGGATCCCAATAATACCAAAATCATCTTTGTCGGGCTTGCATCCTTTGTGAGCCTAATACATTCCATTATTCATCTCTCTCCAAGTTTTTACCCTATCATTTTCCTTTTTTTGTTCATCACAAATAATACGGGAACTTTCACTATAAATTAATTCATATGACCTATTATTACAACTAGCGATAAACATAACATCTGTTCATTTTTCAACTCCTCTTTGATCTTTGCTGGCTATACTTTGACGCTCGGCTGTGAAAATATAATCAGATTTTCCAATTGGAAGATCTTTTAATGATGTTCAAATCATCAGAACTATTACATCAGTCATATATGTCCCTTCACTTTGTGACTTAATCAGCTTTGGACCAAAGGCGGGATTTTTTCAAATATCTCTCCTATAAAGAATAATATTAGACGTGTTACCAAAGGTAACTTGAAAAATGACAAATATGATTGTTAAGACTCTTATTACTGAAATACTCACAAGATATTGAGTATACCTAACATGACTTTGCTAGTTTTTCGTTAAATTCTTTCCAACTTTTATCATGTAAAAGTCTATTATTTGAGACATCTGTAATACTGTCTATGAAATTCAAAACGAAGGAATCACAATTATTTTTGACAAGGTCTGAAGCAATTACTTTCATATACTCCGCTGGATCCTATGGGATCACAATATTAATATGATACTCTTTGCCGAAAGTGGACTATAGCAATACAAAACACTATTTACTAAATTATTCACCATAAAAAAGTTATATGCATCTACTTCTAAAGTTCTTACCATTTCTGAATCTGCACAAATCACTTGACTAGCAAGTAGAACGCGTCATGATAAGTCTGAAGCATTTTTCTTCTTTAAATATTTACGGAAGTGGTGAGCGTACGGAGCCTTGCTATTTTTAAAATTGGTTTTTAATACACGCAAGTTTGTCTTGATTTCATTCTTAGTGAGCATTCTTCCTGTTTTGAATCTTTGATACTCCGAAGTCTACTTATACCTTTGTATGCATCATCAAACTAATGCAGAAGCCTTATATTAATACTAATATAGTTAATCTTTTGATATTAGAATCATGTGCGCACATCCATCAAACATATTTCAAGTAAATCATTAACTATATGTAGCCTGCATATAATTGATAATGTACATGAATGCTAATGATGAGGGATGAAACCCCTTAATAATAGTCAAAACTTAGATGAAACTATATTAAAATCATAATAAGGGATATGACGAAACCCTTTTGATATGACGAAAGCTAAAACTGTCGAAACTATATTAAAAACATAGAAAAGGATATGATGAAATTATTTTGAGAAAGTTTCGGTAGGCATCTATAATGAATGCTATATTTTTTTTCATAAACCATAACTAAGATCTACTTTCGTGTGTCTAAGGAATTAATGTATCTGATTAAACCTGTGCTTACATGGCTATGGGTACTCACTTAATCTAGTTATAAAAATATTATTCTGTGCAATCATCATTTGGGATTATAAATCTGATAAATAATAGTAATATTCACTAATCTTCAAGGGAATATCAACGAGTTTCAGATATTTTTCTGAAGTCTGATCGTAATTCTTTTCACTACTATAATTGCCTGATGAATTATTTCTTTTAACTTATCTTTTGAATACCACGTATCATCTTCTATTAGTTGAAAATAACAGAAAATGCGGTAATATGATCTGAGTAAAAAATTATAAATATTTTCATATAATGTGAAAGAAGACATAATGACAAAAAATATAGTATTATAATTTCGCTGAAAAAATGATAAGTGACAAATAACTTAAATTCAATACACCTGCCTTTTTAAATCTCTGATGACTTCTCCATTTATGTTCTCTCTTACTCGCATTCATGTTGGAGAAAAGGAATAGGAGAAATATGCAAGGCATTTTACGCCAAAAATTTTGTGTTAGAGAATAAGAGCATGTGAAATGTACATTAAAGATCTTGACATTTTCAAAGGCATTGGGAATAATGCATATACATACTTTTTTTTTCTTTATTTCACTTGTCTGACCGCTCAGTATATAGACCTAGTAATGTCATATAATATACTCCAGGTAAAATCTAGTAAAAATAGCCTGTAGCCTGAGAGGAAATGAACTCATAAATAAATGCTATTCAGATAGATAGGGAAAAAATTTGAAATAATTTAGGGATTGATTTCTTATGTGTGAAAATTAATTTGTCACACAAGCAGTCATACAGAGTTACAGATGATTTGCAAAGTATCACCTATTACATCATATATACTTTAATGAGAATTACAAAACGTGTTTATTGTGTCATACATATAACTGTATTTTATTAAGATATTATTCGGGATCTGAGTCAAGGACTGATCTGGAAAATTCAGCGTACAAACTCACAATTATCATCCAAATCTGAGAAATTTATGGTAATATCTTTTTTCCTATAAATACGATATATGTATTTTAACGGCGAATCGCATATAGGTTTTTCTATTCCTGATGATCTACTCTTATATACCTCGTATTCTGAAATTCTGATAAAGAATGCATAATTATATTTTTTTTTATGAATGCTACTATAATATTTAGGATTCCGTGGCCATTTTAATATGTCAAGCCAATATGTATCTCTAATAACCATATAGCCTTGCTGATATAATAATTTCCTAACAAGTATGTGTGTCACAAAAGCTAATCGTCCTCATAATTGAACTTTCTTTTCATATATCCAAGTAGTAGTAAAATAAATGTTATGCTGATTTTTTACATAAAATTGGTTAATTACATAATTAGATTCTATTAGTTTTCCATTAATGAAATGATATGTTTTACTACAAGGAACCATACCTAAAAACTTCATATTATCAGAAGTACCATCATTCCTCACCACCTCCTAAATTCGTTTTGCTAAAGATTCAGGTCTTTTCTTGTAATTCCTATAAGCTTACTGGATAACTGTTGCATAGAAATTCTCAAACTGATAGTTATATTGTCTCACAATCGAGAATCCCTAAGATCACTTCATTGATCTTTCTGAACTTCTCAAAAAATACTTTATTAAAATAGATTAGAAAATCTAATCCAGAATAGGCAAATCACATTTTTGCAGATGATACATTTTACAGGCGATCATCCAGATTATATAGCACAAAAAATAAATTATATTTCAGTTGAAAGTAATAGATTATAATTAAAATATTTTTCAAAATCAGTCAGTCAAACTGATTAAACAATCGTGACTTTTGTCCCATCTCTTAATCTTAATGCGGGTTGATTAAGATAGTTTATAGATAGTAATAAGTTATTTTGTTTCGCAAATAGAGATGAAATAAATATTTCACATCCATTTAGTATTCTGAATTTTTGGCTCAACACATAATGAGAAATTGGCGAAACCATTTTTTGCTCAGTATCTTCTCTTGGTCTGTTGATCTGTAAACGTTTTTCAGCTAATTCTTGCTGGGATAATCTATCAGCTAATTGACGCTTTTATGATTTGATCATCTTTTGGAATCATAAAAATTTTCTGATAGGACATACTTAGAATGGTATCCTTCTCGAACAAAAACCCCTAATTGCATGCTATACCTATAATCAGAATTGGGCATGTCCAGAAACTTTTTTTTCCTAAAAGTGTTATCATTTTTAACTGCTTCCCAAACTCGTTTACCAAAGTCTTGGATCGCTTTTTATAATTCTGATAAGCATTTTGAATAAATCGTGCACTTCTATTACGGGTTCTAGCTTTAGAGCAACTATCCCAATGATTCTGCATTAAGTTCTCAGATTTAACCTCATAGCCGTATCTGCACCATCCGTCAAAATATGTTTTTTTTGGTTCTACATCGGTAATTTTTATCAATTTCCAGCAATCAAAGCAGATGACCATTTGGCTCTTATAGATTCTGAGCTGATGATAATCAGAATTAACCATTCTATCATTCCCAAACCCTACAAACAAACAGTATCGGTGATATACACTAAATATCTAATTGCTTAATAATTCTTGTAATCGAATTTGAGCTGCCCAAGCAATTAGAGATTGGCCTGGCTTTATAGCTGATAATGTGTCATATTCTTTCTCCACTTCGATTATTTTATTGATATCAGTACCATAACAGCAATTTACAATGTATTTTATATCATATCCAAAACGATTATTAATGGGTTTAGGTATAACCTTATTAAATTGCTCATCTATAATGATATTAACAGACATATTTACTAACGGAATAGTGATTTATGATAAGTTTATTGATTTTATAGCGAATTCTAGCTATTCTTGAGTAACATATACTATATAATATCATCATTCAAATTTATATGGATTTGCTGATTAGCGGTTAATTGATTTGTAGCCGATTTGAGAGATAAATCCAAATTCATTTTTAACATAGCCAAAGACGCTGTGCATAAAAATGCACTATTCTTATAGTATTATATGCTAGTTATATTTGCTGAAAAATCACGTGTCTCACTTTTGCCAATTTGCCAATGTGTTCATGACACAGTTAAATAATTATTATTTTTTATTGCTTATGTGTGAATTATTATTATTTATTGCTTATGTGTGAATTATTATTATTGACAGTTTACTATCTACGTGAATGTTGTATAGTTAGATTTGATCAGTAATACATGAAATACAGTGACGAATGGAAAATTCAGAAAATTTAGATGATTTTGTCAGATATTTTATTAATTCTTTGATGACGTTAGGGTACTTTAAAATGTATTGTATTACATTTTCCATTAGTTCAAAGACTTCAAGAAATTGAAAGCAGAATTCCCAACTAAGCGGAAAGATCACAGATAATTCTTTCTCATCAGCGTAGTCTTTCTTTCCTCTTAGGAAAATAGTTCTGAGCGTAAGACGATCTCCTATGAAATAACAGTCAAAAAAGGAAATGAATGATTTTGATCTGAATAATAGTTAACTAAAAAAATAATACTCACTGATTCTTTGGATTGTTAATGAACGTAGTTTTTTCGCGTATCTTATAGTAGCGGTCATAAGTATCCGACCACCCGAGATCGTCCAAAATTATTATATAACTACCCTTAAATTTTCCAGAAATATAATATAACACAATACATGATCACCTGTAAATTTATAAGTGTCGATGATACAAAAA